ATTGCTGTACCACCATGAGCTGTGTTGTCCGGATGGTCTGTTCTGTAGGTATTGTAACCAGAAATATGAAATTTAGTTCGTGGTGTAAAGTGTGTTTCTGTTATCATTGCGATGTCAATGCGTTTTTCGTGTAAATATAAGTCCAATTCTGTCCTATGTTGCGTTAGTCCGTTTGCATTCCACAGAAGGATGGACAGGGAGCCTACAGTTAGCTGATTAATGGCCATTAGGAAGACACATGCCTTGTGTTATCTGTGAGAGCTGTTGGAGGAGACTAAAAAGGGGCTGAATGAGAGTGTTCAGACCATTCAATAACTGAAATAGTTGTGGAGACATGCAGTTTTCAGCTGAAGGTATCTGGGTACTTTTTCCCTAGATGGTTGCTGAAGGTTGAATGTTTGGAGGTACTGATGATGGAGGCAGTTCCTGAGCTTGCTGTTGCGTTTGCTTCTGTATTGGCTTCTGCTGTTGCACTGGAGGTTGCTGTTGGGGCTGTTGATGAGGCTTCTGCTTCCGCTTCTGCTCTTGATATGGGCTTTGCGAAGGTTGTGGAAGATCCGGGAAATTACGAATATTTGCAGATGGAGGTGATTCCCTCTGGTGAGCATGATTCCTCTTGGTCCTCTGTGCCCTTAGATCTCTAAGAGTTTGACACCCCCGATAATTGGCCGGATGTTCGCCTAGACAATTAGCGCATTTAGCTGGAGTTTCTCTGGTTTTGCTACAAGTGGAACTGTCATGTCCTAGTCCACATCTGACGCACCGTGGTGCATGGTTGCAATACGATCGTGTGTGACCGTATTGTTGGCATCTGATGCATTGCGGTATATGTTTCTTCCTTCTAAGTTCTTCAATTGTAACCTTTGTATAAAATAATTTAGTAATATCGAATATTTTCTCATTGAAAGTTTCCTTACTTACATCTACAAAAAACATAGGTAGTGGCCGTTTAAAACGTGAGATGGCGTTGGTAATACCTACGATTTTGTATCCGTATATTTCAAGATCTTTTTTAATCTCTTCAATAGGTGTATTGTGATGAAGGTCTTTAATCACCACGCGAGGATTTCTATCCTCAGGAAGCTGATAGGTATGAAATTCGGCTCCGCTGTTTTTCAAGCAGTTGACTATTTGCCTGTAATTGTTTGGGGTCTGGGGGTAAATAGTTACTCCCTTAGAAGTTGTTTTTAGCAAAAAAGAATCTGGTCCTGAATTGGATTGTAAATATGACACAAGAGCCGCGTAGTTTTCGACACCGGTGATGTAGATTGGGGGTGGATTCTTAGTATTATTAGATGGTGGATTAGCAGAAGAAGTTTGACATTGGTCATTAGTACTAGAAAGAACCTGGAAACTATTGCTAGTAGTTACCACTACTTCCTGTTTTTTCTGTTTCCTCGGGTCCCTGTTTTCAGTAATGTTTCGTTTTCTTCCTGTTACCAGTTCCCATGCTCCTCTTTCGTTGCCTGCGCACGGAGGATTGTCGTAGCAGTCCATACGAGCCGCAGCTTGGGCTGCCTCGGCCTCCTTCGTAACAGCGGCTGATTCCGCCTCACTCATAGGTATTTCGAACCTAAGCTTCAATGTTTTAGTTCGCCTAGTTATTTAGGTAAAAATAACTCTTAATCCCGCAGTTATTTCCAAAATTTTTATAGACGAAAACAATTTTAACTTTTATAATTGGCAAGCACCATATGTTAATTTTTTAAATTAAAACAAAATTACGAAATAGAAATGAAAATCAAACCAGTTAATTTTATTTTAAATATTGGCTTTCAAATCTGAATGCATACCATCATGTGTTGTATATTGCCGTATTATTTATTCTACTTTTAAAAAATTCTTATTTTATTCTGAATAAACCGACTTACAAACATAACTTTTATACCATTTTTTTTATATTATGTTTACGTCTGAAGTGCCTTCCATCAGCGTTTTTTTCTGTTCATTGACTCTATGTTTTAAGGATTAGTACAGCAAGCAGCAGGATGTCTGAAAGTAGAGACATTTAGGGGTGCCTATTGATTCAGACATAGGAGAAGATTGGAAAAGACATTTAACCGTTTATCAATGGAGTATATTGCCAGTAACCAATATTCGATGCGAATTATTTTTTGTAGTTTACTATAATACAACAACAATTCATAAAACTGAATGATGGAACGGGTTTCCGAAACTCGACATAACAAAATGGAATACCAAATGGATACAAAAACAAAATAAAGCATACACTCTTATCGGTGACTTATGACAAACATACGAAAAACTTCACACAAATACCACAAGAAACCAAAGTTACAATTTAAATATGAGCTAAACATAAAAATAATAAGTTGCTCACATTTAAATATAATTATTGATCTAAAAATAATAAAATGGCAGGATATAAAAAACCTTTTTAATTAAGACGATAATTCAAATATATTTACTTACCGCAGTTTCAATGTATGACGACCCAAAACAAAACATGGAAACTTCAATGCCTTGATAAACCAAAAGCTGTAGAGACCTGAATATGAACATAGGATTGCCGGTACTCCCCTGAAATAATTTTTAAAAAAATAATTTTTTTTTAATTAGTGTATTTGATTTACTTTAATTTATATTTTAAAAAAAAACTTACAAACAAGAACTGGAATACTGCAATTATCAAAACAAGAATACCTACTCCTAGAATCATCGTTACCAAGGGATTGTAAACACTCTTCAATTCTTTAGTGTACCTGCAAATATATCAAAAACTTATTATAAGAGAAGTTGATGGGGGTTACAGTAAGTAAACCACAGACTTTTTTTTTATAGTTATTTTTCTTGGCTGGTAAAAGATGACTTAAGAATTTTAATAAAATAAAAAAGAGGAACTCGTAGAAAATAAAATGATAGACACAACAAGAAAAACGATATGTTAACTAGTACAGACGAATTTCCTGTAGCACTGTTTTATATTTGTTTATTTAGAAATATTACATTCTGTCACATCAAGGACATTTATAATAGTGTTCAGAGAAAGCACACTCACACTCTATTTACAATAAAAAAAATAAACAAATAAACTCGCTTCGGCGGTACATTTACTAAAATTGGAACGATACAGAGAAGATTAGCATGGCCCCCTGTAGCACTAAATCTTAATAAATAAAAAAAACTCCAGGTAACAAATAGTAACATCTCAGTTCGGTAGCTATAACAAAATTGATTCTAATTATCGGAAAGAAGGATATTTTCTGGAACAACTTCATAAGGCAATTAAAGATAAACATTGAGTTTTAATATACAATTCATTCCTTTATATAATAATTGAATATCTAGCAACTTTGTAACCTTAAAATGTAAGTTTAAGCTTGTACGTTTTATTTTCAACTTATTTGATACGAATGCGTAACAAATTACTAAAATTTTCCCTTTCCAATTTTTAAAATACAAACTTTATTTTTGTAGATCATACCCATTACACAAAACTCAATGAAAAAATTATTTGACTTACATTGCATTAAATCTCAAAAGAGACAATAGTCCAGCAAAAATATTTCATCGTCTGAAAGAAAATTTAATGTTTTTTTAATTAATGAGCTATTTTGAACATCCTTACTTAATTCATTATAATAAAACTCTTTGAACTCAAAAGCCCACCAATATTATTTTATCATTTGCTTGAGAATTTCATGCTCTTTTCCGTGATAGGTTGAACTATGGTATTCAGCGATATATTTAAGTCACAGATATTTTTCATGTCTTTATCACTGCTTAAAAAGAATTTAAATTATATTAAAGAATCATTTTATTCTTGATAGAAATTATAATAACGTATGATTTTGCATTAAATCTAGGAAGAATGAATACATTTTGAAAGCTTCAGTTAAATAAATATTGATTTTAGGTAGGAAAGTCTCAACCCGTACAAACTAGTTTTGATCTCAAATTGTCTTTGGAACTTCAATTATCTTAAAAGTTCAAATGATCATAGTCTGACTATTCTTGAGTTGAGTAAAATTATTTTTCCATTTAAAATCGATTATTTCAATATTTCAAAATACACTTACTAAGGCATTTCTCTAATTTTCAAGACTAGCGGTTTTTCCTTAATGAATTACTGCGATATCAAACAATCAATATTTTGTTATTTCGGCGATATTTTTAACAAATTATTTATATCAAAGGAAATCAGAGAACAACCAAAAAGAGGATTAAATATTATTTTAACATTTTTATCGTTTTATATAACGTTTCTATCATTCTCTATAAATGGTTTGGAAATATTCTAAACTTCCTTTCCGCAGATTAAAACAAGTATTTCAATAGCTTTCAAGCATATAACAGACAATTTTGAAAAAAAAAATGATGTATATATGCACTAATATTCACGGTCAGAGAATAAAAATCATTAAAAAATGTTGTTTTTTGTACATAATATTATTTTATTTGAATAACTTTTTACTTTTTATATAAATTTCTTTATTCATTTTGTGTGTGTGACGATTGTGAGGAGATGCTGTTATTAATTTTTACAGAAAAGTAAATTAATCAATAGTACGATAAATTCATAATAAATATTGGATGATATTTATAATCTTTTTTTCAAAAATAATAGAAATTTAATTTTACTACCCCCAAACATTGAACAAACAGATCATTTTTTTTGTAATTAGTAAATTCGTATAGTAATTTTCACATTTGGTGGTTTCAAATAAAAATTGGCGTTTTTATACAAAAGTATTTTATATTAATTTTTCATATTTTTAGAAATTTATTTATTCATTTATATTTTATTCCTTTTATGTATATATATTTAAGTAGTGGAGGGATGGTGGTTATACCTATGGTAGAAAAGTGAATAATTCAGTACAACAATAAATGCATAATTTTATGAGTAGATAACAGTTATATATATATATATATATATATACATAATATAAATAAAATATTTATAATATTTATACAAATATAAATAAAATGTTAAAAGGTCAGAAACTAGTAACCAGTACCTGTGGCGTTATAATTAATTACCTTAAAATTTTCTGATGCTCCTGAATTACTTCATAAAGTTCCTTGTAAAGATTAGAGCTGGAATATCCTGTCTCATTATCACCATCTACAGAGCTACATTTCAGTGTCGATACATGTAAAGCTAGTACAGAAAACTGTGCGTAAAGACACATCAGGACTTGGTAAAAAAGGCAAACGTAAACGGCCAAAAATATTCCTCCCCATAGAATAAGTAATATTTCATAAACAAATATAGCTTCGTAATAAGGATATTTGTCTATAGGAAGCGGATACCAGCCACCGAAGATCTTTTTTCTGCCTGTTGTAATTGCGTGCATGTTTCCAGTGTGGTACATAATGTAATCAACAGAAATGCCAGGATCAACTATATTCAAGATAACCATACTTGCATTTATGAGAAAAGCAGCTGAGCAAAGTCTGTTGCATTCCGATGTCATCTTAGAAAAAATATCTTTCGCAACTTGTTCTTTAGCTTTCGGAATTCTGATGAAATCCTTCTTTACCAAATCGTACAACCTGCACTGGCTATCTATTCGAAACCAAAGAAGAAGAACCTTACAACATATCTGCAATGCTGGAAGAGATTGCAAATTTAAAAATGTAGCCTTCTGTATGTCAACTTCTATCATCCAATAGCTAAGATATTGAAAGAAGATGTAAGGTGCTGTAAGAAGGAGTGTTGCTATAACCTTAAATTTAAGAATAGCGTTTCTCTTCCCTGTAGTTCTGTAGTCGTTGATGACTTGCCACAAGCCGAAAATCTTTAGGTATCTCACACTTAGACCATCGACGATATCTGAGTCTAAGATGGCAGCTTGGTCGACCATGGTAGGTTGTCAGAACTGAACTGATGACCAGACCAGGATATCGAATATAAATCGACAGACACCATATTGGATTATTCATGTTCCAATTACTGAAGTTAAACAAGAATTGTAATAATTAATTTGGATATGGTATCTTAAATGAATTGGAAAATTAATTAATACCTACTTCATTTCTAGCATTTTCATAATAAACGATCAACTTGAACTGGAACTGGATAATAATGCATGATGAAACCTACTTACCGAACAGAAGACATTTTGGTTGCCATGCTTTGAAAAATTAATGTTAGGTCAACAAATAATAAGAAAACCACAATAATCGAAGAGTCATGTGTGTATGGGAGATGTGATATTTATTTAAATTATAAATTATTGCAAAAATAATTGTTCCAAGTAATTGCTAAGTTTCAAAATCCTTACCTTCAAGGATTCCACTGTATAATTATTAAGGATAATGATCCAAAGAAATTTTAATTTAATTCGTCAAAAAGATATATATATTTGAAAATTGAATAGTATTTTGTCCAAGTAAATTTCGACCACCAAGAAAACATTCTCCAATGTTTAATAATTATGAATCCTATATAAATGTTATTAACAAAAAAAAATACAAAATGAATTTATTCATTTAAAAAATGATCAACAACATGGACTTAGATATCTATAAAACGATGGATACACTAAGTTTAATATAATTTTAAAAAGAAATGAATGATTGAGGTAGGATGATTTAAGCTTACTGCCTAAAATACTTTGATATTAATTTATTATCATCTTAGAAGATACAAAGTGTATAACAGATAGAACTTAACTGATAAGATCTTCAATCTGAAGTGTTCTTCTGGAGTTGTTTATCTGAAAGAAGAGTTCAGTTCATGCTTCGGTGCATCTCCATCCAACATCTTGTAGTTCCCAATCAATGGAAAGATGTCAGGAGATAGGAGGACAAAAAAGTGTCTCTTTTTTTTTTTTTTTAATTTCTATTTAGTATTTTTTTCTGTCTTCAGGATTCCCAAACTGGTTTAACAGTGAAGGTTTATTTTGATATTGTGCCTGCATTTTAAAGAACACTATGTGCTTGGATTTTGCCAGTTATGTCCTTAAATCAATATACAGGGTATCTCAGTCTTAAAGTCCAAACTTGACTAGAGGTAATTTTCGACTTTTTCATGAAATTTGATGCATGGATCAATCCGAAAAGGAGTTGAGACAAATATCGTTCCTTCCTTAAAGGGGTCAAGTTATTTATTTAATGAGAAGAAATTTCTCAAAAACTATTCAAGATAATTGAATATTATGTGCAATATTTTGAATTAGACATAATTATCTTTAATAAAATAGTAATTAAATGTACTAAGTTCAACGATTAAAGGGACTTTAATTAGGTTCAATACGGTATATGTACTCCTGCGTACGAATATGGAATACTGAGATATGCTGTTCTTGAATGGCTACTGTAATTGAGGTAGGACAGCGATCGTATTAGACTTCCTCAAAATCCCTTCTTTCAGTGCCTTAGTAAATTTAATCACTGTTTTCTAAAAAAAAATGTGCCTACCTTACGATGGTGTACTTAGAATTTTATTGTCTTAAACAATTTTTGAGCAATTTCCTTCTTATTCTATAAAAACGAGATCACCTTTAAAAAAACAAACAGCTGGTGTTTCAGTTCTCGTTATCAGTTCGGAATCCACTCATGCATCAAATGAACTTTTTGTCGAAAATTTTGTCTAGAATCTCTCACCACTCAGAGTTTGGCCATTAAGCATTGAGACACCCTATATATATATATATATATATATATATATATATATATATATATATATTTAATGGTTAATGATAAATATACACTTAAAAAATGAAGAATATGAAATGATAATTAAAAAAAGCAAAGAAAAATTAAATCCCTCTGATAGTTCAATCGCAACCAACAAACAAGAAGAATATTACATCTGTTGTTAAAACATGGTAAATATTCGTATGTATATGCATTTAAGAAATAAAAACTTTTTTTTTTATCTTCATCCAACTATACTACTGTAATTCCACTTTTACAAAAACTTCGTTGTTTTTCATAATTTCATATTAATTAAGTTAATGTTTATCAGCCAAAATCAAGATTCAGCTCAAGTTTTGTAAAAAAAAAATTATGATATTTTTTATCCTGTCAAGTAAAAGTACTCCTGTTTTTGTTAGGAAAAATTACTACAGTTAATTGTTGTTAATTTCTTATTTTTCTATGATTTGTTATGGTTTCTACTGCTATAAAATTTTCTAGTCCTAAAATGTATGTATAAAATAAATTAAAAAAATACTGCAAGTGCTTCAATTATTTTAATTAAAAAGTTATTATTAGTATTGGGAATATTCAGTTTGTCACATATAAACTCGGATCAATTCCAAAAAGGTAACTTCTGGTGGAAAAAATGCTTTATAATCGATTGACCGGAAAAAATAGTTGGTTGGGAAACTTTAGTATAGTTGGATGATGATAAGGAAAATAGTGAATAATTTATGAATATTCTAAAAACAGATCTTAGTTTAGTTCAGCCGCAAAAAATTCCTCTGTAAATGGTTTTAACAGTGATGAACTCTACGTTAATTTAAATTAAATTTCATATTGTTTACTATGTAGCCATTACTAAGTACTTGAATTAAATATTTCTTTATTTATTGCTTTCGATTTAATAAAAAAAAAACATGACACCATTAAAATACGACAAAACTTGGATTTGCTACACCTATAAAAATTTCTCTCTATTTAGGGGACACCCTGTATATTCAGAAGATTGATTTTCCCTTCAATCTTATATGGGCCGTTTGGCTTGACCTTCAATCATAACATGTCAAAATAACGAAGTTATATAGACCAAAAGAAAAAAAAAAAAAGCTTTACCCCTACAATCCACACGGGGCTCATTGTTCCTCCGGGAAAGGAAGTACTGTTTCCTAATCTCCTGTTGTGTAAGGAGGCGATTTGACCAATATTACACCCAATCACCCGATTTTTCTCCATAATTTATTATTTAATTTATGGAGAGTGCCCTACTATATTACCATAGTGCCTTAACACTGAGCTATCCCACTTTCTTATGTAGGAACAGCCCAATATTTTTATAGTTCCCTTTTTTATACATTTCTTGATTAAATTATCTTACGAATAAAATTTAAAAAAAATAGACATTCTTGTTGAAAATTCCTCATATTAATTAATTTAATAAAAAAACTCCCCATTTATGAGAATATTCCTTGATAAAAAAGATTTACGTAACGATAGGATCAAGTCACGAAGTTGTGAATGTTAAATAACACCAAGGACATCCTCATCGGTTCTGAACTTTATTTTAACTTAAATTGATCCATTCATTTTCACTAAATAGTAAAATACTCTAAGTAACCCTCTATCAGGATCACTCTCTTCTAGAGTAACCATATTTTTCAATAAGTTCAGAAAAATAAAATAACAAAATAATTTCAGAAATATGATAAATATAAAAGTATAAGAGAAGAAAATATTTGAACGTAAGAATGAGATAAACATAACAATAATAAAACATTGCAAAGTGCCAAGGTAATCTTTTTGTGTTATAAATAAATGAAAAAGATAAGGATATCAAAAGTAAAACTACATTTTTATTATAATTGTTAAGAAACTATTCATTTTATTTATTTAACATTATGGTACCAGGTACCGTTATATTACGTTAGAGACAACATTCCTTTGAAATGCTTTTACAATTCTTTATACACTTTTATTTCTTTTACAAATTATATGAATTGATCGTGAATTTATTGCCTTTTCTAATAATGTTCTTAGATTCTTTCCATTGATTCCAAGTATTCTTCTGATGGTCTGGTTTAGTACACTGTCAATATCTGCTTGACATTCAATTGTTGTCGGCAGCTGGAACACATCGGCGAAGGTTTTCTTTCTAACAGGTAGTTGTGACTTAGCTTACTGTAACCAACCATTAGCCTTGTTATTATCATTTCCTCTTTTCTTTTGTTTTGCACATTATTCCAGGGATTAGCTGTTTCTTTAACTGTTTTTAGTTTATTAGCTTTATCTGCCCGGAACTAGTTTTCATTTCACGTGTTATTTTTTTTTTTTTTTTTTACAAAAAGTTTGGAATCTGGTAAAGGGATGAAAAGTCGTGGTACAGGAAAAAATCATATACATTACCCTCTATATCTGCAAGAGCCGGGCACCTACATAAAATTTAGTTATTTGTATTCTGATTTGAACTGTATAAGTAAAATAATGTTTTATGTGGTACAGTTGTTGTTAGTAAAATTATTTAAAATGTTAGATAATTCCAAAAGAGAATCAGAACATATTAAAAATGTATCGTAGGTACTGTTTAATATTATGGATTGCAACGCAAGTTTTATATCGAACAGTTCACCAGAGTGTATGAAGAAAATGTTAGGTAAACAGTAACAAGTGATCTCTGAGTCAACTATTAATGAATAGTCAACACCTTTGTCAGTCTTTGACCCATAAGTGAATACCGACTGAGTATTTTAGTAACTGGTAATGCTTTCTTAAAAAAAAATCAATTTCATATATGGAAAAGGATGATTTTTCAACAAATTAACCCAGATGAAGTCGAATTTTGAAGTGATTTAATGCCAATGGGGGTTAGGTATGGATAGACAACAGATATTTTATGAGAAGATTTGAGAGTTATCTGGTCATGGTATCCCAAATGATTAGTAAGAGGTACAGGAGTGATCCCTTGGAAACCTGTAGTGATTTTCAGTTTAGTCGAGGCTTGAGGGTAGTTATAAGTTCTATGTAATGAGAGTCAAAATTCTCCCACGTCACAAAGTAAAGTTGCTATCGATCTGCTTATAAACCCTCCAGTCGCTAATATAATCATAATGTTATAAAAAACAATTGATTTATTTACTAAGCTTCCAGTTTCTCACACCCAAGATGAAGATTTATCTTGCGCTACTCCATTGGCCCACCTCAGTCTTATCATGAATTCAAGTAT